CTATTTTGAAGGGAATGGTGTATAAAAATGAGGCCTTGCTAAAATTAAAAAAGCCACTAGTCGGACCACAGCTGGAGTACTGTGAACAGTGTTTCTAAGGAAAGATAAACTGGGATTGGAGAGAGAGTCCAGAGGAGGTTCGCTAGTTGATTTCATGTATGAAGTATTTTCTTATAAGGAGAGCTTGAATAGGATCGGCTTCTACTTGTTGAAGTTCATAAGAATACGATATGACCTTATTGAAACGTAAAAAATTATTAGGGCACTTGACAGAGTAGATACAGAGGGCTTTCCCCTTGTGGGAGAATCTAAGACCAGAGGATGTAATCTCAAAATAAGCAGTCACACATTTAATATGCAACTCCTCCTCAGAGTACATCTGAGGTTAATTTATTTGTGGAATTCTTTACTGCACAGGGCTGTTGAGGTCATTAAAATTATAAACATAAAATATATTTAATCAGTAAGGGAATTGTGTTATGCTCATAAGGCAGGAAAATGGAGGTGAGGATTCCGATCAGCCATAATCTCATTGAATGGCAGAGCAGTCTTAATGAGCTGACCAGCCTACTTCTGCTCCTACATCTTATGGTCCTATGAGTGTTTTTGACTGATGGGTAGATTGATAAATGATTTCCTCTTGTGGTAAATCCTGATGGAAGGACAAAACCTTAAAAATAGAGCCATCCTACTCTAGGACCGTGTCAGATTGTATTTCTTTCAACAAAGGATTGTGAAAATTTTGAATCTTGACTAGAAAATAACTTGGCTTAACTGGCCAATTGAAACTTCAAATTGAGATTGTCACATTTTTCTAATGATTGTTTTAAGGATTGTGGAACTAAAGTGGGCAGTTGGAAGTATGATCAGATTAAACATGACCAACTGAACATCAGAGCAAGCTGAAGACTGAATTGCCTTTGCTGCTTAGGAATGGTAGAAAAGGTTTAGGAGTAGACCATATGCAGACTTCTGGTCTCAGAATTGTTGGAAGTGGAGTTGAGGCAGAGGATCATCCTCTTCCTCATCTATATTGACCTCCACCTGACACATTTTTGTAATCTCATTTAAGTGCTCATTGTCCAATGGCAGCTTTTACACTACTATATTGCCTAACTTGATGTCATCAGCAAATCTAGATATACAGCTTTCAACATTGATGAAAATCATCTATCAGTATAGTAAAATGTTGAAAGCCCCAGTGCAGATTCTTTGGAGACATCATAGATTATGTCTTTACAATTTGAGTAGATACCTATTGTTTTCATCCAATTTTCAATTTCCAGCCAATTCTGTACTCGTGTCAAGAGATTGAACAAGTGGCAGTGTGCTGACGCTTTTAATGCCTTGGAATGGAAACTTTTTAATTTCCTTCTGGGAGTCTATTAATATAATAGCTGTTGTCTGCCATGGTCATAACCTTCTTGAAATACTTGACTCGGTTTCAGTTGGGCACGACATGTACTTCACAAATCCAAACTCATCTTCACTGATCTGTTCATAACTGACCAAATGTTTGGTATGTCTGATCCAAGTAATGCATTCTACTAACTTCTCATCACAGATGTTCAACTGATGGGCATAATAATTCCTAGGTTAGTTTTGTTTTAATTCATTCACCCATGCGGGTGTTGCTGGCTGGGCAGCATTTATTGCCCATCCATATTTATCCTTGAGAATGTGTTAGTGAAAGCAGCCTTCTCGAACTGCTGCAATGTATTTGGTGTAGTTTCCCCCACAATACATAAGGTTGGGACTTCGAGAAATTTCATCCAGTGTCACCAAAGAACACTGACATATTCCCAAGTCAGTGTGGTGAATGTCTTGAATAGGATCTTGCAGGTGATGGTGTTCCCTGTGGCTGCTTTCTGTATACAGAGGGTACCTGGGAAATTTTCCATGTCTGGTAGAGACCAATGCTGTAACTGGTTAGGGTGCAGAAAGTCTGGAGTGCATGTGTTTAGTACTATTGTCAGAATGTTGTTGGGGCTCACAGCTGTTGGAGTATCCAGTGCCTTCAGTTGTACCCTGATATCATGTAGAGTGAATTGAATTGGCTGAATGTTTGCTTCTATGATAGAGAGAACCTCTGGAAAATGCTGAGATGGATCATCCACTCACTGCTTCTATTGGAGTTTCAAATTGAAATTTCCATACTACCCAGTGATATGCGACTCACTGAAAGCCATTCCCTTCTTCCTGGCCCATTAAACTCGTGTTAGGAATAGAACTTTTCATACACGTTCTATCATAGTTTCTCTTGCGTTAGTATAAGTCTGCAGTGTGCAATTGAGAACTGTTTGTACATGCAATTTCATGTGATCTTACAGTTCCAGGATTCTTTCTTCAAATGATTAATAGAGCAAGCCATTGTTTGTGTTCACCTGCCCTTGCAGCAGTCCAAGAATGTGGTTCACAACCACCATATCCCATGAAATAATTTGTTCTTGAATTGATTCTACCAGAGGTTAAGTCCCTAATATCCATGAATTGACTGGAAATACATGTTTGGAAAACTGGAACTGGAAGACTTGGCTGGCAGAATGTGCTTGTTTCAGCTGGATCCTTGAACTTAATCTACATGAAGGATTGGTCAGTTGAACTACTGATTTAAGCCTGCTACTGGTCTCCCTAGCATGTGCTTCCCACTGGGCTGAAATGTTCCCCATTGTTTTAAAGCGGTATGCCATGAATAAATTCTGCTAGCCTTGTATGCCAGTTGTTTTGGATGGTAAATCTCAATTCATGGCTAGGATAGGTTAATTTCAATTGTTTGCCTTTCAACTGGAGACTAGGGGCATGGCAAATTTGATTAACTCTATAGGTTAATGTCATTAAACATCAGTGTGTATAAAAGTTGCCAAGTCATGTTGCTGCTGTATAAAACTTTAGTCAGGCCAAATTTGGAGTATAGTGTGTAGTTCTTGTCACCACACTTTAGGAAGGCTGTGGAGGCTTTGGAGGGAGTGCAAAAGTGGTTTACTGGATTGGAGACTATTAGTTATAAGGCAAGGTTGGACAAACTGGGATTGTTTTTGCTTGAGCTTTGCAGGCTGAGGGCTGTCCTGACAGAACTATATAAAAGGAGGCATGGATTGAGTGCATAGTCAGCCTTCTCAAAGTGGAAATGTCAGATACTAGGGGGCATAGGTTTAAGGGGTGGTACGTGCCTGGAACACACTGCCAGGGGAGGTGGTAGATAGCAACATTTAAGAGGCATTTAGATACATGAAGTTAGACGGATATGGACCATTTGCAGGCAAATGAGATATGTTCAGATGGCCATCATGGTCACCAAAGATTTGGTGGGTTTGAATGGCCTGTTATGTGCTGTATTGTTCTGTGTTTTAACTGAAGAATGCTGCATCCATCTTTGGTGAGCGTTGCATTGTTTTCTAAGAATCGCATCAAATTAATTCTGCCATAAGAAAATACTTGTTGCATTGAAACACAATGCTTGCTGATATTTCACCAAGTTCCTTACAGCAATTCCTAACCGATGCTGAAAAATCGCATCACGCTTGTGATAAGTTCCAGGTTGTTTCAGATGAGTGTAACAAAATTGGATGCGTAGGGTTAAACAGCAATCCAGCAGCTAAGCTGAAATAAATTGTTGAAAAGAAACAAAATTCTGGAAATACTCAATGGTTCAGGCATCTTCTGTAGAGAGAAGCAGAGTTTAGGGTGAATGGCCTTTCATCAGAAAGTGAATGTGAAGTCTTCTGTTGTAGTAACGTACAAGAGAAATGGGGTATTTGAGTTATCAACAGAAAAAAACCTTCCTGAAAGGGGAAACAGCAGCAGATTGAATAGTACTGTAACTTCTAAAGAGATAATGTAAATGTGTGAAAGAGGGGAGCAATAAATTGCAATTTTCAGTCAGAGCCAGGGACGTTGCCCTCTGTCAAAAGACTTCCTGCACCTTTGATTAAGGGAAGCCCGCACGCGCACAACCATTCTTACAAAGCTTCACTGATATCTTTTAGAGAAGGCAAGTGGTCTAAATGTGACTCCAGACCCCCAACAATGTGGTTGACTCTGAACTGGCCTCTGAGCAATTCGGCATGGGTGATAAATGATGGCCTAGCTGTGAATGAATAAAAATGTTTTGTTCCCAACTAAACATCTCCTTTCTACTACTTTGTTCGTTTTAAGATGCTCCTTAACTTCTGCCTCTTTGACAAAGCATTTGACCATATGCCCTTAATTGTTTTTAATGGTTTGATGTCTTAACTATAGGTGGTAGCACTGATTTAAATATAAGTTGTGACGAGAATGCACAGACTAAAATTTTGAGTAGAGCTTTTGAAGCAGATTTTTGAGTCCTATTATACTTGAGGAAAGATAAGAATTTGGACAGATGTCATTTCTATCAGGTTGAAGTAGGTAAGTCTTTTTTAATGCTACCAAATCATATGTAAAATTACGTGAAGAATTTGAAACGATCCAGTTTGTATATTGCTCCTGATTAAGGATCCAAAGCTCATTTTGTGCAATGGATATTTACGTAAATCAAAATTACTATGGTTGACTGTTTGGAAATATTCAGTTGATACAGTTATAGAGCAAAAGGAGGTCATTTAGTCCATCAGGCATGTGCTAACTTGCTAAAAGAGCTATCCACATGGTCCCTTCCCATCATTTTCCCCCAGATATTTGTCCGGTTTTAAATGCTGCTTAGGGTTCTGGTTCCATCATTGTTCTTAGTTGCGTGTTTAATTGCCTAACAATCTATTTGGATTTAATGCATTTGCCATTTTTTCATTATGTACTGTCCAGATATACTCCAGTAGCTTTTTTCTTACATCTTCATTTATAATTTTTATTCTTGATGTCTTGTCTTGTAAATACCTGCTTTTGGCTGTAGAAGTGGATGCTGTAGATTACCATTTTTTAATGGGTTTTGTCACTCGTAAAGATCATTTATCCTGGAAAGAAACTAAGTCAAATATAAGTTCTATTTAAATATACCATGTAATTCATGTCTTTCTCCCTTACAGAGAACAAGATGGTGGACCGTTTAGCAAACAGTGAGGCAAATGCTCGACGCATTGGCATGGTTGAAAGTTGTTTTGGAGCAGCTGGCCAACCTCTAACTATTCCCGGTCGAGTACTTATAGGCGAAGGTGTTCTTACAAAGCTTTGTCGAAAGAAGCCGAAAGCAAGGCAGTTTTTCTTGTTCAATGACATCCTTGTTTATGGTAATATTGTCATCCAAAAGAAAAAGTACAACAAACAGCATATAATTCCATTGGAGAATGTTACAATTGATTCCATCGAAGATGACGGTGAGTTGCGTAATGGCTGGCTTATTAAGACACCGACCAAATCTTTTGCTGTTTATGCTGCTACTGCCACTGAGAAATCTGAATGGATGAATCATATTAACAAGTGTGTTACTGATTTGTTATCAAAAAGTGGGAAAGTACCCAGTAATGAGCACGCTGCTGTTTGGGTGCCTGATTCAGAGGCAAATATATGCATGCGTTGTCAGAAAGTCAAATTCACACCAGTCAGTCGTCGACATCATTGCCGAAAATGTGGATTTGTTGTGTGTGGGCCTTGTTCAGAAAAACGGTTTCTTCTTCCCAGCCAATCCTCCAAACCAGTACGTGTCTGCTCCTTCTGCTATGATCTGCTCTCTACTGGCCAGCTGACTGCAACTCTGCCAAATCGTTCTGAGTTTTACCGTGGCTCCCTCCAGTCCCCTAGAAATTTATCAGATGAAGATGATGATGAAGACAGCAGTGATTAAGAAGTGAAATGTCAGCTTTGGTATTTAAATAATTGGGGTAGAACTTCAAATGAACTGCTTTTGAGGTGAATTAACTTCACACAAATGTCCTACGACAATTAGCCATAAATTATACCGACAAACCTTAATACAAAAGTTGTGCCTGAATGTTGGATATACTAATGGTTTGTACTCTATCTTTTGCTGATACACATGTTGGCTGAAAAATATAATTCTTGACTGTAATTTTTAGTTGATTTACTTTCTGGCTGCACAAAAATAAATAAATCTTGCTGCCTTCCATTTACATTATTCTGTCTGTTTACCTAAATATTTTAAGTTTGAAATTTCATTTGAAAACTGCTGTAAATATTCATGTTTGGATGCAGCAATTATGATTTAAAAGTGGGAGAAAGAACATTCAGATTTGGCCAGGTGAAAGTTTAGGCATATATTACTGTCAAACATTAACATTGGTCAGATTTAAGAAGAATCTTGAAGCTTTGTAATTTGAACAATGGCTTGTACAAAATCAAAACTGAATGTCTGACCCAAACAATGCAGACAAGTTGAATTTAATGTTGCACGTCTAGATGGAACCTTAATGAAGGAAATGTTTTATGTTGCAAACTTATAGATCTCCTCTCCAATCTCTTGTCATGTCCTAAATATCTTATTTAATCTCAAATAACATAACATTTTATGGAGCTCTCCCTCAGGTGGTAATATGTTTAGTAAATAAGTCTGAAGTCATTCTTTCAAATAGCATTGAGCTGACGAAAGATTATTTTGGGCAACAGTGTTTTATTCCACACCAAATATCAGTTAATATATTGTAGAGGAATTTCCCTTCTGAATTGATGTCTTTAATGCAATTCAGGTAGTACAGATTACATATAAAAGGTAACTTCCCTTTCCTTTACCTGTCCCAACTTTGCTACTAAAATGTTGCCTCATTAGGAAAAGAGCTGAAACTGATATTAATCCTTTATTTGTGCAACTCCAAAAGCATTTTATGGAAAGCTGTGAACTGCTGCAGTTGTTGGAAATTTGAAATAAAACAGGCCGTTCTGGAAATACTTAAGCAGCATCTGTTGAGAGAAATAGTTAGCTTTTCAAGCTGATGACCTTTTATTACTCTCTCTTGCAGCACGTAGCAGTAAGAATGCTCTGTTTAAAAATTAATCAGCTCAATTCATAGCAGTATGGTGATTTGCAAACTGCCAGAACAAGCTGATATGAATTAATTATGCTCCGTTGACTTGCATGGAATTAACATCATTACCTCATTAGACCGACTGACTTGAAAGTGGATTTGGAGAAATTGTAATTTAATTGCTTTCTTTCATGGTCAAGAGCACACCATTTGTCAGTATATATGGCCAATAAAACCTTTGCTGCCAATTGGAAATCTGAATTGCATGATCACATTTGGAGTACGGTGATTTCCAGTTACTAGTATGATAACAATCTTCTTAAATCAATTTGGCTGAGGAATTTCCGTTCCGACGTTTATACTAACATTGACGTAAGACTAAGTACCATGTTATGTATTATTTTCTATGGTGTAATTAAATTTGGTAAGACTTTTTAAGTGAGACACACAAGTATTCAGTTAATGAAATGCTTATTTAGTTGGATTAAATTAGTTCTTTTGAAAGCCTCATGGGTTGCTCTTAAAACATTGAGCTATAAGGTCATTAACTGAAACCTGGCATTCACGTTTGTTTTAATTGTCTGGAAGCAGTGAATAAATTTAACCAGCTGAATATCTTTAACAAATGCAAGCATGTGAGCAAGTTGGCAGGGAGGCTGGAGGAGACAGAGGTGAATGGGAAATGAGAATTCCTTAGACCATGTAGTGCCATGACAAGTGTGTTACAAGGAAACCAACCCTTTGTACACTGGTAAAGTTTTACAGTTTTATTGCCATCTAGATAACATGTAATTTGTCTGGTAACAGAGGCATAGTCCTGTACAAAACTGTCCATCTTTTGCTTTCGCTTTTGTAAAATTGATTCGATTAGCATATTTTAAAAAGCTAAATTAAGTTTGAAAATATCCTAATAGTTGCATCCTGTATTATAAGTTTGTGGTGAATGTGTGCAGTAGAGATTGTCCTTTGGCTTATGCATTTTTAATAACATCGGTATGCAGCAGCTATTTTCATGATGTGAAGTACTTGTAAAAGCAAACATCAACAGAGGCAGTATTCCATTATTTTCTAAATGCCAATTATAGAGAATAAATTTAGTCTTTCAAAGGTGTTTTGATGTCCAGTGCCAGGAAACAGTAATTATCAACTGTGATAGTGTGGTTCACTTTGTGGTAATATCAAAGATGTAGCAACAAATCACATTAGATTTTATCTTCTCTTTATAGCCGCAGCTTTAACCATACTCAGTTGCTGTTTCTTACATTGACCCACTGAGAAACCACTTTGATGGACAGTGTTGTTTCCATCTGCTGGAACAACTGGTATTTTAAACTGAGAATTGAGAGAAAAATAATCAGCTGTAACACTTGGCAAAATCCAAATTTTGATTGCAACATTTTTGGAGGAAGCTGAGCTCTGCTAAATTGATAGCTTTTTTTGATAAGAATGACTTTACTTCCTTATGTTCCTTTGTCTTGTGTTTTAGTAGAGTATGTTTTTCTCTTTGGCTGGTTAATTAGTAATGTGGAGTAGCATGAAATATAATTATTTTAATACTTAACTGCACTGTTTAACCTATTTTCATTTGTAATCGCTGTATTTATTCAGCAATGGTGTAGTTTTTTTTGAACTACCAGGAATTATACACTTTCTCCAGTTTGACACCCAAGTAAATGAGTTCCACTGAGTTCCATTTGGCTGATGCTCCAAATTTTTTGGCTGTAATTGAGCTTGCGAATGTCTCAAATTGTGCTTGTATGCAGCGATGTGGTGAACACTGTATATACATCAGTGTGAAGGTTTTTGTTTAACAGATTTGGTCACAGAATCAATAATCTAAAGTCAGTTGAGATGACCCCTCACCCCTGACTTGAATTAAGAATTGCATTTAGTATACACAACTTTTATTAAGCTCACACTCTGATTTACTGAGTTTTTTAGACTTCAAAGTTGCCAATCAGTTACATTATGGAATAGATTTTTGATAGAGCTGTGCATTGAGTCCTTTGATTATTAAATATCATGACTGCACGAGGTTACTGAGCCAGCTGATATTTTTTGAAGATTGTATTGATTTCGAATCCTGAGAAACAACTTTTCTCAACTCAATTTTCTGTTGCTTATCAGCTGAATACGTGGAGTGTCAATAGAAAATCTGTGGTGCAGTTTTCTGTACCCCTTCTTGTGCATTCAGCTGTTGAAACAGAGAGAAAGAAAGAAAGAAAGCTTGCACCCAAGAGAAACTAAGTTTAATTTTCTGTGTACCAGATCCATTTCGTGAAGTAATCTAGGAAGTCATGTTACTTCCAATTATGTGAAACAGTAAGATGACTAAAACCACAATTTGAAAATCTAATCTTTCCAAACATACTTGGGAAAGACCAGTGTACAAAGGGTACATAAATTTAAGGAAGATTTTCAAAATGAGTTAGACTAAGATCCTGCCCTTCAGCTTGCATCCTACAGATATTCTGTAATATAACGGAATGGCTTTTTTTAAACTTGCAGTTCTTTTGTTAAGGTGTACCATTTTTCTATGATGTACGTTTTTCAAAATTGGCACTTTATTTTGCTGACAAAGTATGTTGCTTCAATAAGAATTTTCCAAAAACTTTAAATGTGATATTATCTTTTACATTCAAGCTTTTTCTTGCAAATGTAGAAGCTTGCACTATACTGCACTCAGTTTGATGGTGAAATATCTGAATTCAGCACAGTTAAATGTTTATTATCTGCAGTTGATGATTAAAGTATTCATGCAAGCTGTTTCTTTTGTATATGTTGATGTAGAATTCCTTCAGTTATTCATCTTTTAAGTCTGAGATGTAGATTTTTGTTTTGGTGTTGACTGTTAATGCGTAAACTTCAAACTTTTTGAAAGGGCTTAGTACTCTGTAACAGATATATTTTGTTACACGATGTATTGCATTACTTAAAATACTTTTAGTGGATATTTGACACTAATACCAAGTTATGAAGTGATTTGGGGCAGACTATGTAATAAAATACAACTAAAATTATCTTTAAAAATAAACTCTTTTTAACTGTTTCTAATTGTTCAGATCTTGATGCACGTTTTGTCTGAGATCTCAGTTTATCAAGATGCACAGTTGTGTTCCTGTGACAATCTGTGATTTCCTTGTCGGGCCAACTGCTATTCAGCAGAGAAAGTGGTACCTACACGAACTGGCAATTTATGCACATTTAACATTTTGTGTAACGTTTTTCGGAGACAAGTGAAAAATTTCTTCAGTATGGTTTGTCTACAAAAAACTTTATCCCATATTGTTATGGGGAGAGAAAATGTTTGTAATTATAAACTTGTCATTTGAAGCAAACCGGTCACTCTACTGTCTACTGGACTTTAATCTTCATAGTACTGTTGTTGTAAAGCAGTCAAAACATTTGTCACTTTAATCCTCAGGAGCACAACCATTTGGATTTCATCAGGATATATCCATCATATGTGCACTCTGTGTAAAACTGGAAATTATTATTTCAAACAGTAAAATTTAGATATAGCTTTAAAACAATTATCAAGTCCCTATAATTTGCATGTGCATGTTCAGGCTAATAGTTATCAACACCTGTGAACACAAGTGAATGAAAAATGCTGGAAATACTCAGCAGGTCAGGGAATACTTGTGGATCAATATGCAAAATTTATTCTGCTTCTCTGACAACAAGAATGGCACTTCAGTAAAAGCCCTGCAAAAAAATACATATCAAGTTAACATTGCCATTCATGTTGTTCTTTACTACGAAAAGTCTTTAAGTAATGAAGACCCGAAGGATTTATTGATGCTGTATCTTCTGCGTATTCCTAACAGTTTTTGTTATACTTCATGTTTCTGACATTTGTATAGTCTTTAACAGAAAAATGCTTTACTACTTTTGAGAGAACACAGCATTACATTGCTCTGTTTAGTATGAATTATTCATACTCTTTTGTACTGATTTTGAAGACAAATCTGAAATCATTAAGTAGGCAAATTTACAGTGACTGGAGTTTTAGAGATAAGCATATCAAATGCATGATTGGGCTGGAAATAAACCACAATCCTGAAGTGTGAATCTCTTGATATAGACATAAGTTTACAAATATCAGTAATAACTTATTAAACTTTTTTCTTCCTTGTTTTTACAAATGA